AATTTGAAATTAATGGCGACAACGGCGTGGGTTGGTTCTTGGGGGGGGGTCATGGGCGAGCGGAACACACACACCACCCCCCCCGCGTTGAAGGTTGTCCTCAGTAAACCCCCCCGAGAGCCCGCTTTTTCCAACCCTTGGGGACCCAGATCAGTAATATAAAGACGGACAGTATGTCAATCCCACCGGTGGAGTAACAACGAGACATCGTTCCTGTCGTCCGAAGTAAAACGATTCTATTCCCAAATTATTTACAAATAAAACTATAGTCTACCTTATGGATAGGCGACGACCGCGTCGTAAAACTAGACGAAATTTTGCGTCACCCGAAACACTTTGCAAGTTCATTGTCGTGACTCTGGATAGGTAGAATATTTATATTAATTAACTATTATTTTCTCATTATAAAAAACCAAACTTATCTTCTTATAGTGGGCTCTCTTAGTCTAAGTTACAAGGAGTTCCGTCTTTCTACATTACGAGTAAATGTCATTTTTGTCCTTTGAGATATATTTTTTCTGGGATCCCTATACATCGACGATTACAATTTAAATTGAACCTAGATAATGCTACAAGTACCGTCACAAACTGGATGAATGTGAAGTATTTTGTTAAAGGAGGATGAAAGTGTAATTAAGGAGCTCTATTGGAGTGACTTTGATGGTTATTGGACTCAGGATTCATTCATTTGGATTCCCGCTGTATGAAGAAATTAAAGGATGGCGCAAGTGGAAACAATTCACAAAGGGATTAAACTGTTTAAAACACATGCTCAAAGTAAGCCGGATTTTGCCGATGTGTTTATGTGGATTCAAAAGTCGTAAATAATCTACAAAATGGAGGAGACCGATCTGATCGGAGCAACTGTGACAAATAATCCAACTGAAACCGGCATGGACAATGACTATGTTTTAAAAATGTGCTTATCCAGAAAAGCCTGGTTTGGACACTTTACGGGCAGAAGAAACATTTCTATTAAAGAAAGAATTATACATTTCTGTCTTTTTATGCCTTTAATAGCTACTAACTTGAATTTGTATTCAAATTAAGTAATCAATTATTTTTTATATTTGATTGTAATGTAGAGACAAGGCTTTTAGTGACAATCATGTATTGCGTTACAATTATATGTAAAAAAACAAAAAGAATTAAAAAAAAAACACTGGACTAGACAATATGAAAATGCCTGAATAGACAAAGAAATATTATACCCTCACATCAACTAAAGTCCTTTAAGGTGATTCAACCTAAATGTGATCAATACGTTGCTATATGGTCAATGCACATCATTTTTTTATTTAACACAATCATGTGAACTCAGAATAAGTGCAGAGATTAATTCTGCTCCATTTCCTGAAGCTGCTCCACAATAAAAGCCTAAAAGCTTTCCTGCGGATTGGAAAGCTTTTAATGTAGAGCGGCAGCATTTGATGTTCAGTTCACATCAGCAGATATGATTTCTTACACTTTACTACACAAAGGCTACTAAAGTACTGAAACGAATTAAAGTAACTAAAGACTGGACACACGGGGAAACATCTAGCCTGGCTCTGTCTGAAAGTAACAAAAGCTTCCGCTTTGCTAAAGCTCCAAAACAATGTCTACAATCTTATTTTTTATTTAAAATCAGAAAGCAGGGTGTCTTAAAATAAACTTATTTTACATTTGAGTTTTTGTCGGGGTGAAACAAACAAGATAAAGTGTTTAATTAAGTTCAGTGTAAGAGGGGCTGGTAAGCAGATGTTGTTCCCTTCTAGAAAGCCAATGTGCCTAATTCCTAAAACGTCATATATTCCTTTAAGTGCCATTCAAAGATCACATTAACCGAACATTTTCTGAACAATCTGTCCTACATTTAGACGGATTTAAAACCATGAGGGGCAAGATGTTTTACGTGTGTTGGCATGAAAATGTAACACAAGGTCTCCGTTCATCTTTCCTCACATGCCCTTATAACTGCATAATTTAAGCTTGTCCTATATATACATTATTTAAGAACTCACACACACACACACACACACACACACACACACACACACACACACACACACACACACACACACACACACACACACACACACACACACACACACAGTGCAGACCCTCGTTTCTGTAGTCTTCGACCTCAATCCAAAAATCAAAAATGTAACAAAATGTAACACATAATGGACAGCTATCCGACTGTAAGGAAACATAAGCAAGCTTTTGACAAATAGTGTGTTGGGTTATAAGACTACTTTTAATTAAGTTAAAGTCTCAGTATAATTGTTGTCCCCTGATTGATGACAGCTTGACATGATCTGGTACAGTAAAAGTGTATTTTGTATGCATTAGAAAAGTGGCTGATATTATAAATACGTCTTAAGATACCAATACAAATGACGAAGCATTGATGAGCAGATCCTCTTAAATAATCACACCATGATCCTTTTAATGTACTTTTCAATGATAATCAGAATGATAATTTAAAAACAATCAATCCCACCAATATTAGGAATTAGATGCACATTTGCAATATCAGTCAATCTCTCTGTCTGTACACACAAACTGAAAGATTGACAATAAAGTTGACTTTGACTTTGAAATAATCACAAGTAGTTATTTTTTTTCCAAATGGTGCATCTGAGTCAGTTAGTCTGAATCTTGTGTCTCCTCTTGTCCTCCAGGGCTACCGTACAGGATACGCGTACCGCTTCCCGGTGCTGCTGGAGCGCTCGCGGACACGGAGGGATGTGGAGGTGCCGGCCACAGCGACCGCTCACCACCAGTTCGATGACGACGGGGTGCACCCGGCCCTGAGGCAGCACCCGTTCGCCCAGAGGCAGCAGCAGGAGAGGACCCGCTGGCTCAACACCCCCAACAGCTACCAGAAAGTCAACCAGGAGCTAAACAGCCCGGGGCAGCGCACCACTGTGAGGCTCAGAGAATCATTACATTTGATTTAATCAGAGGTGGGAAGGAGTGGAGTACAAATACTTTGTTACTGTACTTAAGTACATTTTTCTGGTATCAGTACTTTACTCCACTACTTATTTTTCTGACGACTTTTTACTTTGACTTCTTACATATGGAACACAAATACCTGTACTTTCTACTTCTTAACACAAATACCTGAACTTTCTACTTCTCACATTTTCCAAACAGGCTGGTTCCTTTAGTTTGAATGTGTGTTTGGTGGCGTGATCATTATTATTTAGAGTCATTGCGTGCCTATTGATTTGAACACGGTCCGTGTATCCATCATTTCCTGGTCTTCTCTAAAGAAGAGGGACCAATGAAAACGTTGTCATGTTGCCGTTGTTCAGCATGGAAACATTCATTAGCTAACAATGACATTATTGTTCTATTAATATAAAGGGAGGTCAGGTACTCTTTAAAACAGCTGCTAGTTATGGGTACTTTTTACTGAAGTACATTTCAAAGCCCATACTTCTTTACTTTTACTTGAGTAAAGAAGTTTAGTCAGTACTTCTACTTTTACAGGAGTATTTTTAAACACGAGTATCTGTACTTCTACTTGAGTAAAGGATGTGTGTAATTTTGCCATATCCGGATTTATTGAATAAATCACAATATGGAGGGAGTTCAAGAATTGTCTAAAGGAAAATTGATGACCAGACTTAGAAAATAACGGTCCAGGCTGGAGCGCTAAAACATGCATTATCTGTAAGGTTATTGCAACATCCACAATTTAGTGCAGACTATAGCTGCAACTAAGGATTATTATAATCATCCAGGCATCTACTGATTGTATTTTTAAATTAATGGTTTAATCAGTTGGTCATTGGCAACATCTTGGCAGGTCAATTTTTGTGGATTTATCTATTTTTTGAAAAGACAAAGTTCTAATGAATGCTGCAAGTAGTGCTCAAACTAACCATTAATCCCCTAATGGGTTAATTGGCAGATTATTTTCTAACTGAATAGATTATCGACCTAATTGTCAGAAAATAGTGACGTTTATTCTTCCCAGTTTTTAAAAGTCCAAGGCGAGGTCCAAAAGATGGTCCAAAAGATCTTCATTTCAAAATAATATACTAAAATATCTGTATTTCAGAAGCTGAAAGCAGCATTTTATACAATCTTTGCTTTAAAAATAACTCAGTAGTTGACCTGTTATCAAAATAGTTGTAGAGATATTTTCTGACGATTGATTGATTGATTGATTGATTGATTGATTGATTGATTGATTGATTGTGTGTGATGTTTCCTTTCAAAGTTGGAGATGAAGACTGTCTAATGACATGAAGGTTTAAAGAAGTGAAGGAGATAGAGCTGAGAGATTAGAGGGGGATTAAAGTGATGACTGAAGGGAAAAATAATAAATAAATTGGTTACATGAAATGTTCATTCGACGAGTTTCTGTATCCAAGACCAACACTGTTCTCTCTGACTCTGATGGGTGTTGATTTGCACTGTACAGCATGTGTTTTTATTCCTGTGTACCTTGGAGAAACATGAGTCCTTTTGAGACAAAAACAATATGAGGCTGGTTCTCTTACATCAGTGGGAGGAGCTTGTCTCCCCCTCTCTGTTTTTTCTCCCTCCTCCCTCTCTCCTCTCTCCTCTCTCTGCATTGCAGAGGAGAGCCGCTGCTCTAGGATCAGAGTCTGCCCTCTGGTGGAAAAACATCCAGATTTTCAAAGCTTAAAAACATACTTTCTAAGGGGTTAAAATCGTTTTTTAAGCAAGCAAACGACTAAATGGTGTCCGCCAACGTCATGATATCATGACTTGATATCTCAAAGTAATTACTTAATATTGCAACATCAAAAGAACGTTTCTTATTATAAAGATTTACTTATCTCAAAATACTGAGAACCTTTCATAAAGCATTTTTTTTATGAAACTAAGTTATTATTTTGTCATGCTAAGTCATTTTTTGTCGACACTTGTTAATAGCAATCATTTTAATTACTAAGTCATTCGTCTCTTTATTTCAAGAAAGTCCGTCAAGTGTGACTAAGAGGATTATTTTGTTCTTATTTTTTCTATTACTGGCAGAAATTGAGTTTACACTAAATCACACAGAATGGATCCTTTACACTTTGTACATGTTGAGTCCTAAACCTTTGCCCATTTGGTTATTTTAAGTGGATTATGATATATTATTTTGTATGTCTTTCTTTAGTGGTTGAAGTCCGAAGAGATAACACAATCTGGAAGCATGGCCATCAAGATGGAGACCAACCAGTTTGTGCCTCTTTTCACCAACCCTCAGGAGGTGATCGCCACACGAAACAAGGTGACGTCTTCCATAGTTCCTATCTTGTCAGACTTGGCTAATGTAATCCTGCAAACTGCAAGAATCTTGACTTGCAAGTCCGAATCAACTGAAACATCACACTCCCTATTTACACATTTATTTCCGTGATGACATATACCTCAAAAGGGCCCATGTCATGCTTTTCCGGTTATAACCGTCCCCTTGTGTGTTATGAAGGTTTTTCTGCATGTAACCAGTCTGCAGAGTCACAAACCCTCAAAGTACGCCATGTAGCGAGTAAAACTCTAACACAGAAAATACCTGTCTATGCTGCCCCAGAACCCTAGCTAGTGGAGCCTTGTAGCGGCGAAACTGTGGCGCGCTTACACGTCCATTCGCGATGTCTCGCTGTCTCGCAGACCCCATGCAGCAAGCAGGAAATGAACCCAGCTCACACTGTCCCCTCCTCACAGCAGCGAGCCGCGCAACGTCCCGCCAACACGACACCCAGACCCCATGCAGAATTCTCATCTGTTTGTCATTACTGGTGTCATTTTCTGGTTGCTAACGCCATTGTAACACATAATCACTGATGTTCCGCTGTAACGGTGGTGGACTCATCAGAACAGAGTGGGCGAGCTGACCAATCAGAGCACAGTGGGCTCACAGGAATATTACACAATATAAATCTATTCTAGTAGACCTCAACAATGGAAATATGATCAATAGAAATGGCCATGACATGGGACCTTTAAAACAAACATAAAACACTCAAATTGCTTAGATTAAGAAAGAAGATTCCTAGAAAATTACTGTTTAAAGCCTCAGAGTTTAAATTGCACATACAAAAAAACAATTCTGCACTATGAAGTTTAGCCTTTGGGGCGTTAAAATGATACGATAATCATTTATTTTATTGCAAATTGGAAATGTTGTGGGTGATAGGCATGGCATCGTGTACAATGTAAGCCTCGAGAAGAGATAAAGTAAATAAATAAATACAAATATAACAGGACATGAAGGCTAGTTGTATCAGGTTGATAATCTAAAAAAGCCACACAATATTAAAGATGGCTCGTTAATGTGTTGTGTCAAACTGAAATGTTGTAAACAAATATAAATTTTTTGCAAGTTAGGCAGTGTGCATTTTGACAGTATATGCTTCTGTCTCATGTAATATAGTTGCAAAGTTGTCTTCTGATCTATCTTTGCACACTATCTATGTGAAACAAACGAGACTTGTTGTTCCTTTCTTCAGATCCGACAGCAGAATCGTCAGGACATGAAGACGGCTGGACCGCAGTCTCAAGTCCTTGCCAGCGTTATAACGGTCGACAGTCCTCCGGTAAACTGCAGACCATCTCCTCTCTGAGTCCTCCTCCCTCAGCTGTCGTATTCAAAGCTTTCATTGTCTGTCTCTACTTGTCTTTTAGTCTCCTGAGGACACTCCTAAAGTCCCACCAGAACCAGAACCTCCCAACCCCTTCAACCAGCTGACGGACCAGGAGCTGGACGAGTACCGCAAGGAGGTGCAGAAGAAACAGGATGGAGGAACCAACGGTAGGATTCATTTCACACGACTCAGCCCACTTTATAAATTCTATTTAGATGTTTACCTTGCAGTTAAAAAATTATAATAGTAACTGCATACGGTCTGTTTACACTTTGGCTTAGAACTCGATTTGTAATATACACATTTCTGTTGCTGTGACATATTCTAAAAAACATTTCTTCCGTTTATTTAAATACATTTTTGCATTTTTTTATTTGACTTCTTATCTTTATATATATATATATATTTGTATTTATTTTTGTTTTTTGCAATTTTTTTATTTAATTTCTTGTGTTTTATTCTTTTATATGAATATTTTAGGGGATAAATGAAACACAATATAGCTATTAAAAGTGAATTCCCAGTGCTTTATATGGATCAAAGTACGTTTCAGTTTTACCCATATGTGATAGTTTGAAGGAACACTTCAACCAAAAAACTGTCCTTTTTATATTAGTAACTCACACAGTGATACCTTGAATTCTTCCTCTGTGGGTGAAGTTTTTCATTTATTATTTTCAAAAATGCAACTGACTTATCGTTAATATCGAATCATCTTATTGATTTTACCTTTCATGTACTTCTGGCTATATAAACGTAATATATGTAAAGTAAAGGTAGCTCACTTCCACTTTTGATAAATTGCACATTTTCCTCTAACCTTCTTAAAGGTGCTGTGTGTAACACAATTACTGCCAACAACACTATATATTCTATTATAGTTGTACCAAATGTTTTCACTGTTTCGTGCTATAAAGCATGATTTGTACCCCTTCTGAATTCATGTTTTCTGGTACAACATGTTTTAAAATATTCAAAAACGAATTGTTCACTTATCTAAGCTTTATTTTTGGAGGTTACACACAGCTCCCTGAACATATTGTGTCAGTGGTGTACACTATGTTCAAAGCTCCTAACTTCCTGCACAGCCTCACTGTCCCTCCCTGTGTGTGACTGTGTTTGTGACTGTGTGTGTGTTTGTGTGAGTAGGGGAGGAGGTGGCAAATGACAAGGAGTCTCCCCCCGCTGCCTCCCCCACAGAGACTCCCCCTCCTCTCTCAGGTGAGGCCGTTAACGCTCTGCACGCCGACCAGCAGCTGCTCCAAGTCTGACATCTGCCCTCATGCTCCATAAGCTTCTGAAAACTGTGTTACACCTCTTTAAACTCAGCTCACACACACATTCAGAAACTATTGTTACAGCTCTTTATACCCAGCTCCTACCAGAGATGGTAAAAGTACACACATCCTTTACTCGAGTAGAAGTACAGATACTCGTGTTTAAAAATACTCTGGTAAAAGTAGAAGTACTGACTAAACTTCTTTACTCAAGTGAAAGTAAAGAGGCTTTGAAATGTACTTCAGTAAAAAGTACCCATAACTAGCAGCTGTTTTAAAGAGTACCTGACCTCCCTTTATATTAATAGAATAATAATGTCATTGTTAGCTAATGAATGTTTCCATGCTGAACAACGGCAACATGACAACGTTTCCATTGGTCCCTCTTCTTTAGAGAAGACCAGGAAATGATGGATACACGGATCGTGTTCAAATCAATAGGCACGCAATGACTCTAAATAATAATGATCACGCCACCAAACACACATTCAAACTAAAGGAACCAGCCTGTTTGGAAAATGTAAGAAGTAGAAAGTTCAGGTATTTGGGTTCAAAATGTAAGAAGTCAAAGTAAAAAGTCGTCAGAAAAATAAGTAGTGGAGTAAAGTACTGATACCAGAAAGATGTACTCTAGTACAGTAATGAAATATTTGTACTCCTCTACTTCCCACCTGTGGCTCCTACACACTTAAAAACAATCTTATATGCAGCTTATACACACATTACTGGTACATTTCTGTATTAGGACCTCATACACACATTTAGAAACAGCTGTATTAAACCTCCTTATTTATTTAAATTGCCCTATCAAAAGAAATTAGGTAAACATTAGACTGTTCTGCATCTTATTCCAGGTTGTTTAAGCTCTGTAAAAACAGCCAGCACTTTCAACATAATGCAATGATTTGAGCTTTTTTTATAAAGGCCTAAGGTAGCAGCAAAACAACGTAAGAAAGACAATATTTTAAAATAAATAATAATTTAAAAAAATCTATAATTGAATTACATTTTAACGTAGACTACAATTTAAAATTCTAAATAAAAACACAACCTCAACACAGCACAAATAAAAACAACATATAAGCGCAAAGTGCTGGAAAAGGTTTGCATGTTATATTTAAAGGCGTAACATGGGCTGTTTTTGTTACCATGTGTTATTGATGTTTCTCATGAAAGACATTTTGACTTGAACGAACAGAAAAATACAGGAGGAGGTTGAAAGTATTAATAAAGCTTTCTTTACTTTTGTGTCTTCCAGTGAGCAGGCATTGCCCTGAAAATGACTCAAAGTAAATGGAGAATATTTCTGTTATGAGTCAAAATGTCTGTTATTTTGGCTTTATTTACATTACATATTTCATCTGTATCTACTGTGTTGTACTCTGTCTGTCTGTCTGTCCTTTTCTGTGTGACTGACTCGTAGGGCACAGTTCTGGTGCTTTGGTCTTCTCTCACTAGTAAGTACAGAGAATGACAACCCACCACCCATTTAACTAATACTTCACTACCAAAATAATAATTTGTACATCAGTAACCTTTGTTTCCTTGAATTTGTGAAGAAAAGGTTATTTTTCTCACGTGTTCCACGGGAAACAAGGATAAGAAAAATTAGAATATTCTAGATACATTTTTGTTAAATCCTGTTGACAAAAACCAAAGTTTTCTTCCCAAATTCAACGTAAGCCAGGGTGAATAATTGAAATTCAATAGATAATTTTGTGGGTGAAATATTCCTTTTAAGCAAGCATGTTCATCTGCAGTGACATGTCCAGCATGTAGCTTTGCAGCTGCACTCCTCTCAGCTCTCTTCAGAGATGGCAAAAGTACACACATCCTTTACTCGAGTAGAAGTACAGATACTCGTGTTTAAAAATACTGTATTTTTAAACACGAGTATCTGTACTTCTACTCGAGTAAAGGATGTGTGTACTTTTGCCATCTCTGAAGAGAGCTGAGAGGAGTGCAGCTGCAAAGCTNAGTGTCTCTACTTTAAAGAGTTCTCTCCTGCTGATGTTCAGGTGTATATCAGTATGTAGTGTCTCTACTTTAAAGAGTCCTCTCCTGCTGATGTTCAGGTGTATATCAGTATGTAGTGTCTCTACTTTAAAGAGTCCTCTCCTGCTGATGTTCAGGTGTATATCAGTATGTAGTGTCTCTACTTTAAAGAGTCCTCTCCTGCTGATGTTCAGGTGTATATCAGTATGTAGTGTCTCTACTTTAAAGAGTCCTCTCCTGCTGATGTTCAGGTGTATATCAGTATGTAGTGTCTCTACTTTAAAGAGTCCTCTCCTGCTGATGTTCAGGTGTATATCAGTATTTAGTGTCTCTACTGGGACATGTCTCCATGCTTTAATGATCAAATAGCTCTTTATTTTAGCCAATAGAAGCACATGTTTTAAATGTTACGGAAGTAAGCAAAGGGAAGCGTTTCAGGCTGGGTGTAAACTTTGGGATAGGCTTCGTATTTACATAAACAAACACTAAATAACACGCTACAGGAAAGGGTAATCCACAAAAAGCATAATAGGGAAAGTAAATCTGAGTAGAATCAGGTAAACAAGAGAAAACAAATTCACATTAAACACGTTCAATTAAAAACTGTAACATAAATGGACTTACGATGGTTTGGATCCGTATGTTGCAACTTGTTTTTGTTAATCAGGTTTAACTGGTTTAACTCTCTCTCTCTCTCTCTCTCTCTCTCTCTCTCTCTCTGCAGAATAGAAACGGTGGACTTTCCCTCCTTCGTTCGAGTTCTTGCTAATTTCCGTCCGACAGAAACCAACAGAGCCAGAGACTACAGCAGGAACAGGAAACTCAAATGTCAGTCCACTTAGTTCTGCTTTAATTCTACATTTGTATCTGGAACCTTCTTATCCACTGAGACCTGTCTGTGTGTTCAGTTGCTTTCCAGTTGTATGACCAAGACAGAGATGGAAAGATTTCCAGAGAAGAGCTTCTTCAGGTCTGTTAAACTCATCTCTGTGTCTCTGCATAAAGATTAACTTTTGCACCATTACCATGCAATGCAAAAAAAGGCACAACTCGAACAAAATGTTAACTGTCTAGTCATTTTGGATTCACACAGTTTTGCTGGAATACAATAGAGATATCCAGCACTTAACGTCTTTTAAAACCATCCCTCAGGGGCAAACAAACTACTGCTATCACTATGAATGACAGGAAGATAGCAGAGTGTATCATCTGCATAGTAACTCATCCAAATGTTATGCAAATAGAAAAAGTAATAGAAGTTAATCCTGCAGCACATTTCACTTCTCTTCTGTAAGTGTTCAGTATTTTACACAACGTCCCCTTAATGTTGTTGAATAAATGTGACTAGATAAGGTGGTCTTGTCCCCTTCAAGAGGGAGGAAGTTAAAAGGCATCCAACATTTAACCTCTTTAAAGCTTTTCCTTTGGGGGAAAAACTTCTCCATCTATTTCCGTCAAACTTTACATTTCCAATATTACGTTTTTTTCACAATATTCCCGTTTAAATGTGGTTTAATACACCTGACAAGGATAACACTGCACACTTTCCTCAAAGGCGTAAAACCTAAATATGTACTTATATTTCATCAAGATAAAGCATGGTATCATCTGCACAAAAATGTATCAAAATATTATGTTAATCAAGAAAATAAGAGGCCCCAGGTTAGAGCCCTGAGGAACACCTCAAAAACGTTTTGCGATAATTAAGCTTTCAAGATAGTCCAAAAGTTGGGATTAAATTAAGGATTTGAACTGCTTTGGAGTTAAGTATTTTCAGACATTATTATTATTAAAAATCAGTTTCTCACTCTAATGTCAGGTTCTGCGCTCGATGCTGGGGACGCAGGTAACGGAGAAGCAGCTGCAGAGCATCGCTGAACGAGCCATCCAGGAGGCGGACCTCGACCAAGACGACGCTATCTCCTTCGACGAGTTCAAAAAGGTGAGAGCGTCAACAAAAAGGGCGACAAAATAGACAATTGGGAATGTTAATTTAAACAAAAGCAGTGGTGTCACTTTCAGAAATGTAGTTTGAGGTTCCGATATGTTAAAAAAAGAAAATGCAGATGTAACTTTTTCTGCAAAAAGGTTAAAGAAATTGTGTTTTCTGAATAAACGTGTTAAATAGTTAATAACCTCATGCAGTGTAGTAAAACAATCATTTGTTTGGGGGGAAAAGCATTATACTAAAATCTAAATGTAATTATTAAACCTAAATATCTTAGCATTCCAAGGTAGAAAACCATCTTCATGTAATATTTGTATTGTGTTTTCAGTCACTGGAGAAAGTAAACATCGAACAGAAGATGAGCATTTGCTCCCTGAGATGAAGACATGACGAGCTGCTATTTACAGATTTTCCTGGTTTGCATTTAAAAGAAGATGGTCTACTCCTGTTTGTTTTGTCTCTAAAAACTGAGAGAGAAGATGGAGACAACTCTGCCTGTTTTTAAATCTCGTTTAAAAACCCACTTATTTTCCCTGGCTTTTACAGACCAGGTGACACTTGTGCTTTTAAATTTGGGTTTTTATCTTACTAGTGTTTTGTATTGTTTTTACGTCATGCAGGAGAGTTTTTCAGTCTGTGGCTTTTGATCTGGTTTCATTGTCTCGTGTATTACATTTGTTTCATGTCCTGTCTGTTTTTATGTATTTATGCTATGTTTTTATACAGTTGTTGATGTACAGCACTTTGTTCAACTCTGTTGTTTTTAAATGTGCTATATAAATAAAATGGATTGGATTGGAAGAACCCCCCCCCTAGAGTCAAATATCTGAAATGTGACATATAGTATGTCACATTGGACTTTAATGGTAAAATAACTCTTATATATAACTTCCTTAACGAGGATGATTTTTTGGTTTAAATTAGTTTGAACATTCTTTGAATTGAAGAATAAGAACATATCAACTCAATATAATTGAATCAGCTAAATTAACTGAGCAGATCGTAATCATATTTCTAATTGAGACATACTGTATGTGTCACTCCGGGTTTACTGTGAAAGTTTAGGGTTAAAGTCCCGATGTGACACCAGTTTCACAGCAATGTTTGTCTCATTTGTTTCATATCAATTTGATCAAGAAATGTTTCCACAACAGGTTCAATGTAACAAAGTACAGGTTATGTAAGCATTTTAATTATTAAATGGCTTGAATTTTACCTTTAGCAATAAACAAAAAAGCTTTTGAAGTGTAGCTCGTTCTGTCACATGTGTTAGTCTGGCACATGGACATCTTGGATATGTTGTTATGGGAACACAAAATCACATGTCCTGGACAATGACCCACCAGACTGTTCAGTGTGTGTCACTTAGGGACTTCATGAGATAAAAACAAGGCTAAAGCTGCAGGAACTTTCCAGAATATTTAAAGTGCATGTGACACCCTTGTCACGGTGGGTCCTTATTTAGTACAAATAATAGTACTTTAATAAGGACTTCAAATGGTCAAACAGTCAGAGAAAGAAACGTAAACCAGATGTCCAGTTGATTTTAAATCAAACTTGATCTTTAATGACTGATACATGGTCACCTTGCAACACTCACTTATACATTCTAATATAAAATAAATTAAAACCATAAGCAAACATCACACATCAGCATATCTGATAACAGCTACTGGTTACAACAAAAAATAAATACAACTCTCAAGAGGTATTTTGCACACATACACTTAAAAGAACATGAGAAAAGTGGAATGTTTAGTACCTTCAGTATCTTCTATTACTGGGTTTCAAACTGCATCGGCAAGCAACAAATTATTTATGCTTCATCCTTTTTCGGGTTAATAGAGGCATTTAAAGCGACTTGTGTTTTGTTGCGAGTCAGTTGTTCTTTATTCTTCCCTGCTGCAATAACGTCAATAGGCTGATATTTTCACACAGAATCAGCATTCAGAGGAGCACAATCAGAAGCTATCAGTGTACTTCTACATGTACTGCACCTGTGCTCACAGAGTATACCTGCAACATCTATCTGATAATTAAAACCAAATAATGACTAGAAGATGCCTATGATGATGAACAAATACAATGTACTTAAATGTCAATATACATATGTCAAGTGCCTCTTACATGGATAATTGGTGCATAATTCAAGGGGTGTTAAATGTCTGCCGTGTCTTGCAAATTTGTGGATTAAAAGTCAATGGTATGAAACAAATTCTGAGTGCACAAGTAACTAAGTTTAAGAAAGAGTGTTTGAATGCCTATACAGTGAAGTTAAGTAATGGTTTGATAGCACAGCAGGTGAAAATAAGACGTGAGAAATACAGGGACTGAGTGTGTGTGACAAGAAGCATCAGGTTGTACCGGACCTGGATCAAATACTGCGTGAAAACATGATCAGTGTTCTTTAACCTAAGGTGAGACACTACAGGCAAATATATCTTTCAGATTATTTTCATATGGGGTGGAGGCGTGTGGTGCAGTGGGATGTGTGTCGGTGTTCGGATCAGGGGGTCACAGGTTCAAACCTCACTGCAGTCAGCATGTCGTTGTGTCCCTGGGCAAGACACTTCACCACAAATTGCTCCTGTGGGGATTGCCCACAGTATTGAGTATGTAAGTCGCTTTGGATAAACGCATCTAACAAGTGACATGTAATATTACTGGAAGGGAAATATAAGAAAAACACATTTGTGCCTTTGTAGATTTTTACTTAATTCACCAAAAGTTAGCATTAGATGATGGTTCTTTTGCATATTTAAACCAACATTTCTTAATTTAAGTAACTGGAGGGAGTTTCATGTTGATGTCTTAACAGGTTATTTTTTACCCTATTCTCCTGTAGTGTGTAAAAATGAATTTTACAGTGTATATCTTGGATGGCAGTTTTCTCAAAATGAGTCGGAAAATTCCACTTCTGTAGCAATTACTGAACATTAACCAAACATTCATGCCTATGTTTATTCTGAGGGTTATTAAAGAGGGGTTTGTTCACACACTCTTCGGTTTATAGAACGTTTTATCTAAAAAATGATGGTAGAAACTGATTTATGGTTTGGTACATAATATAATTGTCTTATGTAAGTAATCAACTGAGGACGTATAATGGCGTTATCTATTAGTTAATAAACTAAGCCCGTTCACCTGCAGTGTCTCCCTTAAGATGAATCACCACTTAGATCGAGCATCAGTGTTACAGTAAAGTATTTGTAAGTGAAGTTAATACACCGTGTCTGTGAAGGACATCTGAACTGACTCTAGATCTGCTGCTGCGGTTAACTCTGTCACACACTAAGGAGATGTTTCACTGTGGTATTTCACCGAGGTCAGGGGTCCCTGAACGCCTCAGGTCTCGGCCTTCTCCTTCTGCTTCTTGCTCTTCTTCAGGAACGACGGCGGCTTGAACTTCTTCTTCTTCTTGGACGGGGACTTGGAGGGCGAGCACTCGGGGGTGCCGCCTTGTGGTTTGGGCGGTGGAGCGGCGGGCGTGGAGGTGGTGTCGTTGGTGTCGTTGGTGGAAAGAGCCTTCATCCCTTTCTCAAGCTCCTCTGTCGTCTGCTTCTCCTCCTCGCCTCCGTTCTGTATGGCTGGAGACTCGGGCTTTGCCTCTTCTGCTCCAATAAAAAACAAAAACATAAAGCAATGAGCAACATTCACAGATAGCCAGATTGGTGGCGTGATCATTATTATCTAGAGTCATTGCGTGCCTATTGATTTGAACACGATCCGTGTATCCATCATTTCCTGGTCTTCTCTAAAGAAGAGGGACCAATGAAAACGTTGTCATGTTGCCGTTGGTCACCATGGAAACATTCATTAGCTAACAATGACATTATTGTTCTATTAATATAAAGGGAGGTCAGGTACTCTTTAAAACAGCTGCTAGTTATGGGTACTTTTTACTGAAGTACATTTCAAAGTTCCAAGGCACAC